CAGGGTTCGTACGGGTCCTTAAAGTACATAAAAATCAATAAAAAAAGAAGTTGTAAAATTATGTACTTAATTGTTCATAATTTTCAGGGAAATCTTCTAAAATCCATAAAGATCCATAAAAATTAACCTGCGGTGTTCATTTCATTTGTGTATGTCATTTTCCCCACCCTTACAATTCATAGTTTTGTCGGAACATGCAGGATCTGGGACCCGCTCCGCTTTTTCCGCCGTCTCCGATTATTTCCGACGATGATCACGTGATCACTTCGGGTCATTCCGGGAAACAACAATAGGTTGACGCCATCCCGGGGCAGTGAATGGACGTTTTGGTTGCCGGCTTGGCAAACAATTACCGTATTTCCTGGAAAAATCTATTCATCGAATTTATCGATCTCAACAAGTGACAGACAAATATGTAGCGACGCCACTCGAGCGAAGTGCGCCTTAGCAGTCGATAGTCCGCTGCTCTCTGCTGTGTGTGCGTCAGCTCAGCTTAGCTGTTGTCTCGGCCAGGCTAGCTTTTTGTTGTCGTCGATCAAAGCGTATTTGATTCGTGACGTCAATTGCGTCGGCGCTGATTGGTTGAAACCAAAAGACGCGCGCGTGCGGACATGTTTGCGCGGAAGCACACACAGCAGAGAGCAGCGGACTATCTACTAGTGATGGGAATTCCGGCTCCTTGTAGAGAGCCGGTTCTTTTGGCTCGGCTTACTAAAAAGAGCCGGCTCTTTCGGCTCCCAAATGGCTCCTCAGTTTTTTTGTTGCTTAAATTAATTTACTACCAAAAATAACGCAATATTATGTGTAAAATGAATTACTAATACAAATAATAGACAGTATATCAAATATTTATTATTTATATGGCTTTATTTATATTCTTCTGAACATACTCAACATGGAGTACAACATGGTGTGCTACAAAAATAAAAACAAAGTACAAAGACCCATCTCAAAACAAGGTCAACAAAAAGTTCCAATCTCTGAATGTGTATATTTATAAGCTTTTAACTATTTACAGTAAAACAACATAAGTAAGCTTTGAATACCACACAACTAATTATAAATTAAAATTTGTAAAACAAAAGAAAAAAGCAGCATCCAGGTAAAAGTTTTAACTTGTCTTTAGCGAAGATTCCCAGTCAGCAAAATTGGTCTGGCCCAGCTCTGGCGCGGACACGGCACGACACTCGGCCCACATACCGCAATGAATGACGGTCCTGCAGTGGCCCGGGTCCGGCATCCATGATCCGGGCCGCATTCTGAGCCGCATTGTATAACCATATCCGGCCCTACTCCGGCCCGACGCTGGGCCAGAACAGGTTCCTGATATCAGCCTTAATTCAACCTCAACTAAGCCACATCTTTCATGAGCCATATTTGACCCACATTTAAAAAAAAAAAAGTCTCTAAAACAACTGTTATAAAAATATGTTTATTGTCATAATTTGCGAACCTCACATATAACTCCACATACACTGGAAAAATGTACTTTTCTTTATTTAACAGTGAACACAAAGTCCAAATTGGGATGCAGCTTCCTCTTGAACGGTATTTTTCTATCCATCAAATTGTTGCGCTCTCCATGCACTCTTTTCTTCTCATGCTTTCCTTCCTGTCACCATCCCGATCAGGAGCCAGATGTAGCCATCTTGTGATTGTGACATCAATTTCCTGGTCTGAGGCCCAAGACGTTAAGGTGTTAGGTCTCACAGCGGCTGTTAGAACTGTAAGAAAACAAGAATGAATAGTGTGTTCGGAAAACAAACATTTGTACATGTCATGAACAATGAATGGTCAGTAAAAATAACCCTTGAAATTTCTTATAATAATAAGAATAATACATTTCATTTATAAGCGTCTTTCAAGACACTCAAGGGCACTTTACAACCAAAACTAAACTAGGTGTGACGCTGTGGGGCAGAATATTTGCCACCAAAAACTCAACGTGAATAACTTTTGAATAGTTTATACTAAATTTGAATTACATGAATTGAAGTTAAGTGTATGGAAAATGGATGTACTTGTATATTTTACTCTGAATCATATTGAATAACTGAATCTGAATTGTACAATCTGAATTTTAAACGAGACTTTTTTCTTTGAAACTGTATTTGATCCTCACTGAAAATTAAATTCTGTTTATTTTCATATTCAGTCTTACAAATACAAAACTTAATTTCAACGTCAGATTTTATTTTTGAATTGAGGTACTAAGTTTTAAATTAACTTTATGGTCAAGTATTAAGTATCCAGTTTGTATTGCAGCAAACGGAATCAAAATTAATTTCATTGTATTTCAGTGCAGAAAGGATTCTTTTTGGCAGCACCCCTGACTGTTCAAGCACCTACATTTCATAAACTCACATGCACACGGAAACTGTGACGCAGCAGGTTCACCCCCAGCCTATGTGATATTATATAATAATATTAATATTTCCCTATGCCACCATGAAGAAGTCATATCTGTGCTTGGAGCACAGAATGCCCCCCCCCCCACGCCCTCATATCGGGCTAATGCTAATCGTCATTATTAGCGCCCTTCAAAATTCAGGCTAAACTCTAGACAG